GACCTGAGTTCTATCCTTGGAATCAACATAGTAGAAGAAGAAAACCGACTCCATCATGGCATCCTCTGATGTCTACCTGCACACCCAGGCATGAATGTACACAGGAATAAATGATGCATATTACAAAAAACATTGAAAAGTTTTAGCCTAAAGATAATGTTACCATATTAACTATGTATAGGGTGGAGTTAGAACCAGCCAACTTATCTCACCCACCTACCTCTCTCTCTTCATCTTTCTCCTTCTCTTTTTCTTCTTCCTCCCTCTCAATGATATGACCCCAGGGTAGCTGAGAGTCTGTGTACTTGGTGTGTAAGTCTAGACCAGTGGTTCTCAACCTTCCTAATGCTGCAACCCTTTCGCACATTTCCTCATGTTATGGTAGCCCCAACCATAACATTATTTTCATTGGTACCTCACAACTATAATGTTGCTGCTGTTATAAACTGTAATGTATGTGTCTGATATGCAAGACATCTAATATGTGACCCTGTGGGATCATGACCCATAGATTGAGAACCACTGACTTACAGCAAAACACAAACTATTCTTGTATGGTCCTGTTCTTCTACCTTCCTGTTCTTCTTCAGAAACATACCCAGACCCAAAGGGCTCACCAAGGGGGCTGAGTAAAGTAGCTGGAAGCTGTTGCTTTGATGTTTTTATTTCAGGAAGCTACTTGAACAGAGGGTAATTATTGCCATTAATAGCAATGATCTCTCCATAATCTGGTTGCACGTCCTATTTCATTTTAACATCAGAGCAGCTGCCTCTGAACAAGTCTGGGCCGGGTCCTGGGGGCAGGGTTTCCTGAAACATAGTCCTTGGTCTAATTACTTCGCTGCTGGGGCCTGTCTGAGACGGAAGCCAAGGGTGATGGTCAGGATGCGGTCGCTTCTCCCACCACGAGTCTTTAGACAACAGAACTTTCTGGTGCTTTTCAAGAGTAACTCCCCTTTGCTGGTACAAGAAAGGCAGATGGGTTTAAGTTCTCACCATCTCTGCTGTAACTCCCACAGCCAACTAAAGCACTCTAGACATAAGAGCACAGCTCTGAGGGAGGGACTTTGCTTTCCTCTCTCTCCTAGCCATTGGCAGCTTGGGAGATCAACAGCCATATCAATGCTTGATAGCCTCTTAGATCTCTTTCCCCACCTAAAGCTTGCTTTACATGAAGAAATGAGGTCTCTTCAGATGGTTTCACTTTAGATCAAAACACAAGGTTCAATGGCCTGGGCATATGCTAAACATTTACTGTGTCTGTAGCCTCTGACTGGCGATCTCACATTTTCTTGGTCTGGGATCTTCTTTTAAAGCAGTCAGACCTAGACCCAATCACTTCTCGGCCACCCACTAGGCTCCATGGCCGCCAAAGGAAGACTCTATGTTTTCACATCTCTGCATTTTAAATACGTTCTTGTAAGATTTGGAGAAAAATATCTATCTTGAGTGGTTGACCTGAGTACCTGGTAAGGCAACCAAGGTCACCTAGGCAGCAACTGATAGTTGCTGTCCTTTCCCTGGTGGGCTTAGTGGGAGAATTTCAGCATCTCTGCCTCTCATTAACTACACCTGGCCTGAAAATTCAATTTCAACAGTCCAGCGGGGTGGGAATAATAACCTTTTACAAACAATGTATTTCAACTAAGGTGCATCTCTCCCAAATTACAAAGACTCCAAGGTCACCTGCTGGGCACTGGCTCAGCTCACTTGGGAGGGAAAAAGATACCTCTAGCAGTTTCTCTGTAGTGTCCAACCTACCTAACAGCTGTTTCCAATATACTGGTGATTTAGGAAAACAGTCAAAAATAATACCTTGAGAATATAGGTCTCAGAGCTATGAAAAGACTTGCAGGAGGGGAGAAGTTGTCTTTAATCGGGTCATTTCAAAAATTTGATCCATGGTGGGTTTTATTTTATTTTGAAAATGAAATAAACCTTTAGAAAAATTATTGTTCAGCACACATTTTTATATACACCTTTTAGCTTAGAAAGGGCTTGGTTCCATAGCCCTAGCAAACATAAAATATATAAGACAACAAATATAAGCCATGTTGGCTGCCTTGTACATGCTCTTTTGTAACTGAAAGTGTTCTCAGGAACTATTCTGGCCTTTCTCCCCCCACCCAACCTTATTAAACGTCAACACACACACACACACATCCAACTCTGTTTCCTCATTGTGAGACTTTATAGAATAATGTATATAAACAAAGCTTTGGAATCAAAGCTGAAAACTCCATAGATCCCCAAGTTATAAAGATGACAATTGATTATTCTCACCTATAGGTAGTACTCATTGAAAAATAGACACACAAGATGCAGATGAAGAAAGCAAAAGTTCTGGTTTCATTGCTGGTAACAATGCCTTGAATGGATCTGAGGTCAAGTCAACCTATTAATTTTTAGGATTTTGGATACTCATTTGGGGAGGGGTGGTGGTAGGGTTCTGAAGAATGGACAAATTATTACACAGTGAAATGCAGGGAAAGCCATTGTTCCTCTGTCATGTAGTTTAATGGCAAAAGCCAGTGGTCAAAGTTCTCAACTCCATTTAGCTTGAAAACATGAACTGATGAAAGTCAGACTCATTGCTTAGTTATGAAATGAATTATTCTTTCTTCATCATTAGGTATTGAATATTATGTAGAGATGATTCGATGAAAGTTGACTCAAACTTAGGGAGTCTCCTGAGAACATAGATCGAGAGAACATAAGAAGACATAATGTTGGGCATTGCTATGCTTTAAAAGTTGGAAAGTTAAGGTTTATATAAAGTTTGAGTGAGTATACCGATGGCTTACAGGTTGGTAGTTTGGTCCCCAGTGTGGCAGTATGAGAGGTGGGAACTCAGCAGAGAATAACCAGATTAGCTGATTTCTTAGAAGGGATTAACACAGTCGTTTTGGGACCCCAGTTAGTTATTATACCAAGAAAGTGAGTTGTTATGAAGATAATCTCTCTGGCTTCTTGTCTTACCATTGACAAACTACCTTTTGCTAAATGTGCCCAGTTAGCTTTAGGCTATGATTGAATTATAAGATGTTGGTGAACTTGTATTGGAAAGATACAGGTATATTATCAGTAAAACAAGCAAAAAAAGTTCAAAGAGAAACTGTTTGTCTTTTGACAGTTTGAACATACCACCATATCATTCCATCGGCCATGTTGCCAAAGGGACCTCACCAGAGAACTAACAGATAATGCCGATTTTCCTTGGACTTGTGTCTCTAAAATTGTGGGCTAAACAAATCTTTTCTTTATATATTACACAGGCTCAGGTGTTTTGCTGTACTGGTGGTATTTGGAGGTAGGACTTGGTACTGGGTCATAAGAACTTCCCTTCACAAACCTATTAATCAATTTGTGGATGAGTGAATGACTTTAGTTTTTTAAAAAGCAAGCTCTTTCTATTGTGTTTATTCTATCTTCCCACGTGGTACCTTCTGCTATGATGCAGCAAGAAGTCCCCTAGCAGATGCCGAGCCAACAGTATTATTTCACTTCCTGGGCTCCAGACCAGAGCTGAGTAAATGTCTATTTGTGTAAAAACAACCAAGTCTATGGTATTATGCTATAGTGGCAGAAAAGGCAAACTGTTGCTCCCTTTAAACTTTCTTTTGCTTGCTTTATTGATGACATACATGTGTCTCTCCAAAACCGGTTCACCAGCATCTTATAATTCAGTCATAACCTAATGCTAACTACCCACATTTAGCATGAGATGTCACAGATTTAAGGACTAACACTCACAAGACTGCCTTTATTTTAGATGTTTATTGTGAGTTCAGGATCCCAGGATACCACATTTCTGTTTTTATCCTCATTTCTGATAATTCACACCACAGAATTTAGAAATGTGTTTCACTTAATAACTGCCTTTTTATTATAAGAGATATAACTCTAGAACTTCTATTAAAAGAGGGCCAAGGGCAAGGCACATGGTGACGATGGCTTCTCTGGGTATATCAGCATCATGGTACATGTGTGTGTTTATCACCTTGGAAGCACTCCAATTCTTGTTCCAGAGTTTCTATTTAGCCTCATTATGTAAGCATGATTGATTAAGTCATTGGCCACTGGTGAGTGAAATCAGTCTCTGACTCCGAAGGTTAGGGAAAACGGGGCTAAAAGTTGAATTCCAAGTCTCATATCTATTTCATTTACATCTATCTATATCTATATATCAATTATTGAAGTATCTATCATCTGTCTATCTAAGATCCACAGTACCATATTGAAATATTTAGCAAGGACTGTAGATTTCATTTTGAATATTAGTTGGATTAGGTACATGGTAAACATTAATTATCATCTCTCAAATAACTTGTCAAATTTGAATGTTATGCACCTTAAGAGTCTAAGTTTGCATCAATAAGGATTTAATTTAATGAAATCCAAGAATAGAACTTATGCTTTGAAAGATTTTTTGCTTCTCATCCGGACAAATTGAAAATGAGCAAAACCCTACCACATGAAGCTTAATAAATATAAGCATACATAGAATAGTTAATCTTATGTCTGTCAGCGTGAGCCCATTAAATTGACAGCTTCAACTAAATTGAAGAGTCTTCCTATCATTGTGGCTTCCTCTCTAGGAAATGAATGTCATGTTATGGATGAAAAATTGCTCAGAGCAGAACAAAGTTATACAGATGTGTTAACATTAGAAGTCTCTGTGTCTGCAGTGAAGAGCAGTTGGTAAACACAGGAAATAAGTACTATTTAAATAAAAATAGAAAAGAGTCAATGCATGCCAGTTGTAAAGAAATCAGAAAATTAACTTAAAATATGCAAAATTATATGAATTAAAATGATGAGTGTTTTGATAGAAATCTAAGGACCTGGTTAAGAATCTTTAAGATTCCTTCTAACATTTACTATTTACTTATTTAACAAATATTCAATGAGTACTTCCCTGTGCATCTCACTCCCATGGAGTGTTGGTCCTGTGATTCAAAATGATGATAGCACATTGATACCGATCATGGCAAAGGTCTACTAAATGTTCGTTGTGCTGGCCTGAATGACATATTTTATTTTATATGATAAGCTTAGTTGTTCTTCAGAGTACCTAATGACATTGGTTCTGTTATAATCAAAATCTAAGAGCCAGAATCGTTCCATTATATGACCAGAGTCGCATCATCTCTATGAGGTGACAGAAATTAGATTAGTCCTCAGGTTCACTCATCCACATTTTTAGTTCCCACTTCTAGGACAGGATTTCACGTTTTCATTTCTTCCATGCCTTCTTTTAAAGTGGAGAGCTTTAAAACACAGAATTCTCCTCCCCTGTAGAAATTAATTTCAGAATTAGCAGATAAAATAATGATGGCCAGATTTGGCTCGGTGAGTTGGAAAATGCCAGGTGTTTCTGGTGCTCCTGTTGGCAAGGAATCAGAGCGCTGGTACTGACGTAGCTATCCCTGAGATGCTGAAGTTAGCCACCCAAAAGCAGCTGCAGCAGACACTTTCAAGTACCAAATGTTGACAGGAGGGATGAAAGAGGAACCAGGGATCTGGTGTTCAGAGAAGCAGCCCCTGGAGTACTTGGTTGAAGGAGAGAAAACCCTTCTTTGGAGGTCGAACCAGAATTTTTGTTTTCTGCCTTTAAAAAAAAAGAAGGAATTTTTGTAAATAACTGAGCAGGAGACAAAATTAACCCACCTGCGTGGCTTTTCAAAACAGACCTCCAAGCAAACTCCAGAGTGGGGTCAGGGGGGCACTTGAGTGTTCATGTGCTTGGAGTCTGGGGCAGCCGTTGCCCTTGGCTGCACTTAGCTTAACAAATACTAGCAAAGGTTTCGCCTCTCTTGTAGACTTGTGTTTGGTTTGCTGTAAAACAAGATGAGAAATGATTGGGGTGGGGGCAGGAGGCAGGAAGGGAGGTGGGTCAGCATAATTTCATTCTGCCATTCTCTTTGAACTGCCAGCCACTGGTTTCATGCATTCCTCCCCTAGGGGTGATGGAAATAAAATTACCTGCCTGGAGAATTTCAGAGTGAAAAATCAACTCCCAGCCTGAATGCCAAGACACAAACATTCAATGGGAAAGAGGGAACTCCAGGGAAAGAAGCTATGATTGACTAAGTGAAATCTGCATTTGAGAGTTGAGAAATATGTGTCCCTGTTCTGAGCAGGCCATACCCAATCCCAGATCCTGGATACATTCATGTTCAAGACAAGAGTAGGGAGGACTTGAAATTATTTTATATTTTGCCCTTGGGAACTAGATGATTCCAGACCCTGGCAAAGCTGGGAAGGGCTCTCTGTGAAGGGAACCTAAGCTGAGGGACAAACCTGGCAGAGGAACAAACAGCCCGATTTCCTTTCAACTTGGGTGAAGGGCTGGGCTGAGCAGGACTGCAGAGTGGAGGATATTATGTCATACACAGGCAGGTGCCAGCCCTCCTAGGCACAAGGAGAAGTTGGGCCCTGCCTTTGATTACTGGGGTTCTCCATACGGGGAGACATCAAGCTCTTTAAAATTGAAAAAAGTCATCGCCTTGATTTGTCTTTTCCTGTCTCCTCTACAACATCAGAAAAATAACAAGGGAGTCACAAGTGTAATCTTGAGTGTATTTCCTCTCCACTCCCTTCCTCAATCCTTCCCTTTTCTTCGACACCACCCCTCCTCCAAACCACAAGAAACACTGATTTTGTTTTTAGTATGCAGCCTTTGCTGATGGTCTGGCAGTTTAAGCCACTGCAGCTTGTTCAGGGAGGCTCCTGTCCTGCTAAGGTGACCGAGAGGGCCATGGTGTCATGGCAGAGGGAAGGCCTGAGCTTTCCAGATTCTGGGTCTTCTCTTGAGACTATTTGTTAAAGGTGTTTGCTCTGTACTAGACCTGCACAGTTAGGAAATTCAATAAAAATGAGTTACTGCAGAAATAAAGAGAAGGGGTGAGAAGACAAACTACAAACCCCAATTGTTTATTAGTAAATTTCAACAGTCATAAAGTTTCCCTGCCTTCTTGGTCCAGCTTCTTAATGCTGAATCTCGGATTCTGAGGACTGACCCTGAATAACATGGGCATGTGGTTCCTCATTTTTCCCAACCAAATACCCTAGAGAGGCAGCTTAGTGGAGCATGTCACACATGGGGACTTGGGCAGGCCTGGGGTCAAATGCTGACTGCTGGTGGGATCCTGCACCCAAATTCAGGGCTCCATGTCTCTGATGGGCTCATCCTTCCATTTTGAAGAGGGGAGGACACTGGACTTTCAGGTTTGCTTGGAGGAGTAAATGTGACATGTTGTAAAACATAGTTTAAGGCTAGTGAGATGGCTCAGTGCAGGAAGGATGCTTGTCACCAAGTCTAACGACCTAAGTGTGGTCCTTAGGACCCACACAATGTGAGGAGAGAATAGATCTTCTAAATTGTCCTCTCATATACAGTCACATGCACATAAAATAAATAAGTATACCCAATAAAATAAAATAATTCATTCAGAGCCCAAAATGAGTGATCATGGTTTGGCCCATGGATTCAAGTTGCTTTGAATGACATGTTCCATCATGGAATGTGTTTACATAAGCTTTATATATTACTGAACAAGAGAAAGTCATAAGTTAATACATTTACCAAAACTCACTGGTAAGGTAAGAAGTCTCTGCAGTAGGTTTCAGATGCATCTTCAGACAACTTGAGTTCACAATGCGTAAGGACCCTGCGGCAGCTCTGCACGTAGCCATCTCCCCACTTGTGGAGAAGGGAGCAGGCCTGGGCTTTTCCTCACTCTTGAATGCATCATGTCCTCCATAGTCTAATTTTTCCTTTAGGTTTCCCACCCCAATGGCCAGTTACTTCTCATTACTTTCTCCCTAATTCATCATCCCTGCCTGATCTCAGAGTGTATCTTCCTGATAACATGGCTTATGTCTCTCTCCCTTTCCTGAGGACAGGAACAAATCCATTTATCCATTGCTATTTGCCATTTCCTAATAAGTTACAGGGCAGTAGCAGATGGTCAAAATATTTACACACGCATGTGCACACACAGGTACACAATTCCATGTTTAAAACTTGAGCTTGTGGTTGCATGGAAGAAGCATTATCTACCGAAGACTGTTCAGGTGCAGATCTCAGAAGACATGGACATTATGTTCTATTACCAAGATCCAGTGGGGCCCCTCTCTGTGAAAATGGGACATGAATTTCCTGTCTTTCACCAAATCTTTAGGTTCCTGTGGCGCTCAGGTGAATAGGGTTGGCCAGAGAAAGTCTCTAAAGCACACGTAGAGTTCTGGGGATTGGGGGGGGCAGGAAGTACATGTACATAGGAAAGGAGAGGGTTAGAGCACAGGCTAGCATGAGGGAAGGGAACGTAACATGGAGGAAGACCATTTTGGATCATGAACCATCAAATGTCAAAGCCATAAGAGTCCTTAGAGGTCTTGTAATTCAGACTACCTGAGACCATTTCCAGTTGTTCACAGCTGGGCAGCTTCTTGGCCTGCTTCTTTGTTCTCTCTAAGCCATTTTTTTTGGTAAATTGAAATAATTGTAGCAAATCTACATTGTAGGGTCATAAGGAAGGATACACAAAATCCATGTGGGGGGATGAAATTAGTGTCTGGTGCACTGATTGCTGCTTGTTGCACAATTATTCTCTGACCTTGGGAAAAATGGGGACTTGCTGAAGGAAGTAGATCCAAGTGGAGGGAGCGCCTAGAGTAGAATACATTCTCATTCGCTCACATTTCGTTGGGTCCTTACTCTCTTTTCTTGAACACAGACAATTTCAGGATGGAAAGATGCATGCATCTAGTGTATTTTCATGCTCACACTTGACATACAGCCTCTTCCTTACTCCTACAGCCCCTGGGAATTTAACCCAAGACCCCCAGGGGATGCCTGGAGCTGCAGATGGTACTGAGTCCTAGCGCTCTCCTAGGAGTCTTCTTATCCTTTCATAGCAGTGATAAAGTCTAATTTATTGACTAAGCACAGAAAGAAATCAACAATGACTAATAATAAGACAGAGCCTCGTTAAAAGAGTTTGGTAATGAACCATTCCTTCTGCTTCTATTGTGTGGAACACTTTGAGGACTACTGGTATTAGTTGTTCTTTGAATTTCTGTAGAATTCTGCACTGAAATGATCTGGCCCTGGGCTTGTTTTGGTTGGGAGACTTTTGATAGACTCCTTCTATAGACTGCTTCTATTTCATTAGGGGTTATAGGACTATTTAAATTGCATATCTGTTCCTAATTTAAATCTGGTAAGTGATATCTATCCAGAAAATTGTCCATTTCCTTTAAATTTTCAAATTTTGTGGAGCACAGGTTTTCAAAGCATGACCTGATGATTATCTAGATTTCCTCAGTGTCCATTGTTATGTCCCCCTTTTCATTTCTGATTTTGCTAATTTGCATGTTCTTTCTCTGCCTTTTGGTTAGTTTGGATAAATGTTTGTCTATCTTGATGTCCTTGAAAAACCAACTCTTTGTTACATTGATTCCTTGTATTTTTTCTTTGTTTCTACTATTGATTTAGCCCTCAATTTGATTATTTCCTGGCGTCTACTCCTCCCGAGTGAATTTGCTTCTTTTTGTTCTAGAGCTTGCAGTTGTGCTGTTAATTCGCCAGTGTGAGTATTCTCCAGTTTCTTCATGTGGGTACTTAGTACTGTGAATTGTCCTCTTAGCACTACTTTCAAAGTGTCCCATGAGTTTGGGCATGTTGTGTCTTCATTCTCATTGAATTCTAGGAAATCTTTAATTTCATATTTTATTTATTTCCAGACCCAGGAATGGTGCTATCGTGCATTGTTCAATTTCTGTGAGTTTGTAGGGTTTTCGCAATTTGTGTTGTTGTTGAATTCTAACTTTAAAGTACAGTGGGCTGATAAGATACAGGGGGTTATTCCAAATTTTTTTTATCTTTGCTATGTTGCTGAGTAAGAAGATATATTCTTCTATGTTTGGATGGAATGTTCTATAGATGTCTGTTAAACCCAATTGGGTCGTAACTTCTGTTAGTTCCTTTGTTTCTTTGTAAAGTTTCTGTTTAATGGTGAGAGTGGGGTGTTGAAGTCTCCCACTAAAAGTGTGTGAGGTTTTATGTGTGATTTGAGTTTAAGTAATGCTTCTTTTATGAATGTACTTGGGGCATAGACTTCTTCCTCGTGGATTTTTCCTGTGATGAATATGAAATGACCTTCTTCATCTCTTTTGATTGGTTTTAGTTTGAAGTCTAATTTGTTAGATATTAGGACAGCTACACCAGCTTGTTTCTTGGGTCCATTTGATTGGAAAATCTTATCCCAACTCTTTACTCTGAGGTAACATCTGTCTTTGAAGTTGAGGTGTGTTTCTTGTCTGCATCAGAAGGATGGATTCTGTCTTCATATCCATTTTGTTAACCTGTGTCTTTTTATAGGACACAGTCAACAAGACAAAATGGCAGCCCACAGAATGGGAAAAAATCTTCACCTTCCTCCCATCTGACAGAGGGCTGATTTCCAAAATATACAACGAACTCAAGAAGCTAGTCACCAAAACACTGAACAATCCAATTAAAAAGTTGGGTACAGAACTAAATAGAGAATTCTCAATACAGGAATCCAAAATGGCTGAAAGACACTTAAGAAAGTGCTCAACATC